AATAATGATGAAATTTTATTTGTGACCGGATTTCTCATTCTAGATCAAGATTTTCTTTGGCCTTAAAAACTACTGTGATGATAGTACAATATAGTTGAACTTTAAAAATAGTATGCTATGTAAAGAAAGCTAACAGAAAAGGTCATGTGTTATATAATCCATGTACAAGAGCTGTCCAGAATAAGAAAATCCATAAACACAGAAAGTATATTAGGGATCATCAGGGGTTGGACAGAGGGACGTATAAGGAGTGACCTGAAGTGTGTGGGGTTCCTCTGGGGTAATGAAAACACTCAGAAATTAGTGATGATAGGTATACCACTTTGTTAATATGCTAAAAAATACTAAGACATTAAAGTGGCAAGTTTACTAAAGCAATTCTTTTTTCAAATTGTGACTAAGGAATCCAGTTCAGGTGACAGAAAAAGGACAACAGAGTTGGAAAAATAGGTGAGACCTAGTTCCCTCCAGGTTACAACATCTTTACTAAGACCTTGTTTTGTTTTCAGCATTCTATAGTTTCATGTTCTGCATTCCTCCATGAAACTTAGTATATCCAAAGTACAAGAAGAAAGGATCAGTATCCATGAGTCAGGGAAATTTGGCAGTGCTTCCTGAGGACATGAAAAATAATTGCAGCATGTGCATGTCCACCCTATGGACTTTGTACACGGTGATGTCTCAAATCAAGTTAAATTTCAGAAATTGAGAAAGTCAGTAAATTCAAAGCAAAACACCCACCTGAGAAGATAAAGTTTATTCTGTGATTTTACTTTTCCTTGGAATACAACTGCAATCAAAATCAAAGACAGCATTAGCTTCACAAAGAATCATGGCAATTTCACGAATACCTATATTATATTACTCCATGTTTGCAGTAACTAATGATTACATCCTTTGTGGAGAGCTGGTGCATGTACATGGCACAATTTAACTCTTTTTCTTCTTATTACCTTCCCCTCCTCTCCCTCCTCCCTTCCCTCCATCTCTTGGTCCACCTCCCTTTTGCAAAAGATCCATCTTCTTATTTCCTATTATCTTTTATTTTACTCATTATTTATACTTTGGATTTCTCATATAATAGAAATGATGTGATATTTAGGTTTATGCATCTGATTTATTTCACATATCATTTTAATCTCAAGGAGCATCCACTGTCCTACAAATGGATCAAGTTTTACATATAAGCTGGGCATGGTGGCGCACGCTTCCCAGCACTCAGGAGGTTGAGGCAGGAGGATCGTTGCAAGTTCAAGACCGGCCTGGGCTACAAAGTGAGCTCAAGGCTAGCCTGAACTGCATAGCAAGACCCTGTCTCAAAAAAAAAAGATTAAAAAAAATTTTATTTATAGAATTTTACTGACATTACCCAGTTTTAATGAAAATTTGGGGGAACTAGAATTTTCATATTTTCCTAGTGGGAGTGCAAAATGGCTCCAAATATTTTGGAAAATAGTTTGGCATTTTGGTATGAATTTGTGTGTACATTGATCATGTAATCTAAAAGTCCTAGTCTTAAATATTCACCTGAAAGAATTTCAAATCTATATTCACACAGTAATTGATATGTGAGTTTTTAAAGCAGCTTTATATGTAATCTCCTAAAACTGAAAATAACCTAAGTGTCCTTCAGTTGATGAATGGTGGTACATTTCGACAATGAGATGTTACCCATCAATAAAAATGAATGAAAAAGACCGATAGACAAAACTACATTAAAGAAATTTAGATGCATTTTCTAAGTGAAAGAAGCTAGACTCAAAGAACTACATACTTTATAATAGCATTTATATAACATTCTTTCAAAGACAGAACTATAGGGCAGAAAACACGTGGGGAGTTGTTGATTTCAAAGAAAAATGGATGATAGACTCATTCTACAATTAACTGTAGAGGTGGTGACACACATTTCTCAAAGCTCACTAAGAAACAGGTGACTTGGGGCTGGGGATTTAGCTCAGCAGCACAGCATCTGCCTGGCAAGTGCAACGTTATGAGTTCGATTCCTGGTACTGGAAAAACAAAAAACAAAAAACAAACAAACAAAAATAAAGGAACAGATGACTTTTACTGTGCGTGAATTAAACACAAAAATAGAAAAATAAAAAATTTGCAGTATATACATTCACTTTGAAAAATAATATTACTTGAATATATGAGCCTAGTGTGATGACTAATTCAAAGGTTATTAGTTCAAGATCAAACAAAATACTGTCAAATGAAATAATATCTGTGAGATTTCTGAAACCATATTTATATACAAACTCCATATAATTACATATATCTACACACCTACACACACATACATATCTCCAGTTAATGCTAAGTAAAGTGCATAGAGGTACTTCAAATAAAGAATAATTTTGCTTAAACTGGGGTTCTAAAAATTTCTTGAGTTTTTCTTTAGCAAAACATAATCATTGTATGCAACCAGAAAATACATTATTAACTTCAGGAGCAAATTATCACAAAGAAAGTTTTAGTTTATTGTTGCCCCTGTTACAAAATTCCATAAGTTTTTGCAAACAACTTCCAGTTATGATCCAGAGGAGGGGGAGGAAAGAGGTAGAAATTTTAGCCCTAACACGTTGTTGGCAAGGATTTCATAAATTCTGGCGACAGATGGTGTGTGGTATTTATGAGCCAGTTGTTGAGTGCTCACAGAATGACTCATGAACTCAGAGCTGTTTATTGAAGGGAATTATATGGCATTATTTGTCTCAAAATTTGCCTGCTGTGTTGCAGAAAGACTACAAACCTTGCTCGACCTTGAGACTGTCTCCTTTCTAGTGTAATTGGCAATCAGCCCAATTTTTTTTGTTAGTTACTTACCTCATCTGATTTTTAATATAACTTTGATATGTTGAGCCAAATTTATATTCCAATGAGAAACGACCACAATGTGTTGGTAGGAATATATTTTAACTTCTTGTTTTTCTTGTGTTAAAAATAAATGTATTCAATACACATGGGTAAATTCCTTAAATTTGTATGATATTTGAATTCGAGTAAACCAGATTATTGAGTCATAGAGGGAAAATAAAGAAGAATGTATGGTAGTCGGAGATTCTGTATGACAACTGTAACGAGATATACGGTGACAGGGGTGTAAAGGATCTTAACAACTCAGTCATTGTAGTCTGCAGGCCAAATGTTAGAAATGCGATGATGTGATTCAAAGCTTTAACTACAGCTGGTGAAGACTGAAGGTTGCTCATAGCTTTATGAGATATTTTGAAGTAGTACCATTATCAGTATTTTAGTATAGATTTTTTTTTCACTTTCACTATTTGTATTTCCATACTGGCAATAGAATACTGCAGAGCTATCTGCAGTATTTGCCATCTTATTGATTGCTATGGGTGAACCAAATGAACTACCCAAGTGGTTTTTTTGTTGTTGTTTTGTTTTGTTTTGTTTTGTTTTTCTCTGGTATCAGGAATCGAACTCATGACCTTGTGCTTGCCAGTGTATCAGTGCTCTACTGCTGAGCCACATCCCTAGCCCTCACCATTACTCTCATAATCAAGGTCCTTTCCACACTTAAGCTCCTGTGCAGGTCACAAGCTTGAAAAGAGAAAGAGGTGGAGAATTGTCACACCTACTGTTCCCATCATTTGAGGGTGTGCTGTTCAAATAAGAAGCAAAGGAAAAAAAGTTGGACATTCAGGACAGAAAGGAAGCTAATGTCTGGGGGGCATGAGTTAGACAGGCATTGTTTCTTATCACTAAGGGGCCCAGGAATTTTATTTAGAAAGAGAGCCGAAGACGTGGTTTTGAATCTAATGCTTCTTCTGGTGCCTGCTTTTCCCCCACTGTGCAGAGAAGAGTTGCAGCAGATGAGAACTGGAGCTTGCTGTGGGAAAGGCTGCTCTGCGAGAATATGGCTGTCATTCTTTGCCAATAACAAAGATGCCTAGATAGTTCACGTTTTTGAAAAATCTAAGCAGCAGCAAAATTCAATTATTTGCCACTAGCATACACTGGCTCATCTCACTCCAGCAGCTTCACAGGAGCAACTGTGGCTTGGCCCAGAGCCAGGGAAAGCACGTCGCCCCTAGAACCAATCCAGATCAGATACAGCTTGATTTGTATTCTTTTGGGACTCTGTATTTAGAAGTACTTAAGGTTCCAAAGTCAAATTTGAAATTAAGAGACATGGGCCAACTTACTACCTTAATACTAACAGGAAAACAAATATTATTTGAGTTATTCCTAGTAAGTTATGTTTTGTTTTCTAAGATGTTACTTTTCCAAGATAGAAAATGGCGTAAAGGCTCTAGGACGGAAATCTAAGAGCGAATAGATGTTTTTAGACTAAATAGTATCATCCTCACTTTATAAAGCATGTTCAGACAAAAATAAGGACCAAGTAATTTGTCATCCAAACAAAGGACAACCAGCCATTTCATAGGAGCAGAAGACTGATTTGCAGATGGATCTATCTGCAGTATTTGCCATCTTACTGATTGCTATGGGTGAACCAAATGATCTACCTAAGTGTTTTTTGTTGTTGTTGTTTTGTTTTGTTTTATTTTTCTCCGGAACCGGGAATCTAACTCACAACCTTGTGCTTGCCAGGCAGGCACTTTGCCGCTGAGCTAAATCCCTAGGCCCAATCTACCTAGGTGGATACAGGTCCCTTTTTTTTACAAGCACTGCTCAGAACTACTTGAGAACTACCAGCCCAAAGAAAGGGATTAAAAACCCATTTCATGCCTGAATAGCCCAAAGTCAAAATGTAATAGCATTAGCTATGACATACTACAGAGATTGGAATTCCTGCGCCACAATGATGTTAGAAAACTATCAATTGCATCGTGCAAACCTGGCTTGTTTCTGGTATATGAAGAAGGAAAATTTAAGTTTACTATGCTCGGAGACTGAGCTTTGCCCAAAAGCATCAACCAAAACAGAAGTTTTACACAAAGCCTCTCAGAGAAAGAAAACATTTCTTCCTCACCTAATAACTTTGATTTTCACTGTTTTCTGTTCCATAGTGGGAAGATAATGTAGGAGGTGGAGGAAAATTGAGAGAATTTATATGGACCTTTACCACGGTAGGTGGCTAACAGCCAGTGCTTTACTAATGGCAGCTCTTATTTTGTTTTTGTTGTTAATAGATCTCAGCAGAGCCACAATTTATTACTGTGGAAAAGGCATTAGGAATAAAGAAGCAAAGTGTATGTAATACCTCATTCTACCTTTTGGCTTTTTGTAGACTTCAGAATTAGATGAGTCAGTACTAATAGATTTCTAAATTATTGAATCTGAGAGCTGAAGGCACCTATTTCATTCATTAATTTACTATGGATTGGAGATGGCGATGGAAGGATGACTCAGACACTGCTCTGCTTTTCAACAACTTGCACTTTCATGGGAATGATTTATCAACACTGACAAAACAAAGAAGAAATGTAATGAGAGAGATGTGCAAAGTATGCGTTGGAAGCATTAGTGCTGGATAGTTAACGCACAGAAAATGTGCAGGTCCAGTGCTTAGGGAAAGCTGCCTGGAGTTTATAAACCAAATATCATGCATGTGGTGATGGTGTGGTTAGAACTGCTATCTACAGCTGGTTAGAGAGATAATATGTAATTTACCCATATCATGGTAAGATGGGCATAGTGTAGAGATAGAAGCGCTAGTCCAAAACGAAGGCCTAGTGAGCTTCAGGCAGGGGGAAATTCTATGCATGAAAACAGTATGAGTGCATTGAAAAGTAAACTCAGGAGCACTGTTGGCTCCTGTGAGGCAGAATTGAAGCTTAAGACAAAATAGAATTCAGACAGTAGTTCAGAAAGTGTCAGTAACAGGAATTCCAAGCTAGTACATCAGGCACAGATAGTATGAACAGTAAAATAAATAAAAAGTTGTGGGATATCAATGAATTCAAAGCTGGATCCTAGCCAGTGATTAGGAAAACACAATGTAATCCACCTACTTGAAAATTAAGGAAAAACTAGGAAGAATGTCAGGGGCCCAGCAAAGTGAGCTGTGGTTTAGTTCAGTCCTTATAGACTACCAGGCTTGACAGGATCCAACGGCTGTGCTACAGGGAGCAACTTGGACACCATTGCTAAGTACTGGGTCAATACTTTGAGGAGGTGGAGCAAGTGGGAGAATTCACACCCTGCACCTGTCTCTATGTAAGCTGTTGCTCGGGGTGCATCTAATCCCAACTCTGGATGGTGGCCTGGGCTGATTAATTGGCTGGTTGGTTGATTTATGTGCTGACTTCATATTCAAAAAGTATCTCAAACTGATAACTAGCATGATGATCAGCATGATTTAAGGTGATTACAGATCACTCAAATACAGGGTTGCTATTTGAGTTTGTATTACACCTATGTCAGTCTGTGTATGTGGCTTGTGCATGGTGAAAGAATATGTGATAAGAAATTAGGATATGTGACACCTCGGGGGGTAATGAAGTTGTCATAATCATTTATGGCTATGCATGGGGTTTTCGATCTGAGTTCTTGGAGGCTTGCCTTAAGGCTATTGAGGGACGGATCAGCCTTCATTCAAGTTTATGCACACTGATACAATGACTGGCTTCTGCTATTTAGGAGCATTCTACCATGTGCCAACTATGGTGTGTGTCATAGCTGCGTCCGGACAAATCTGCTTTCTTTTTTTTTATTTCATCTTACTGTGAATAGGCACTCTCCCATACCTTGAGAACATGGAAGCCATAAAATTTGATAGAACCATGCATGAGATGTGGCCTTCATTTCCTATACAGATACATTTTTGTGTGCAAAGCAGCATACCCCTGGAATGCTCGTGACAGTCAATATTAACACAAAGTGCTACTCTACTGAGTGCACCTCTGGCAGGTGCAATGCTTGGTATTTTTATCAATATAATTTCCAATCTTCATGATAACTTTATGACATAGGTAAAATTACTAGCTATATTTTGTAAATAAATAAACTCAGGGCTCATGGAAGTTTAACAAGCTGTCCCTAGAACACAGAATGAGAAAGAGGCTCAGGATTTGATCCCATCTGCTTCAATTTGTTGACAAGCCCAACCCCTTTCCATCACTCTCCATTGTCTGCATACTTTTGTCACAGGGCTTACCACTGTTTGGGCAATTACTACTGTGTACCAAGTTGTCCTTGAATGAGTTTATGGACATTCTTCATTTTCTGGGGTATCTGGCAAACGAAAGAAAGAAAGAACAGAAGAAAGAAAGAAGGAAAGAAGGAAAGAAAAAAGAGAGAAAGAAAAAAGAGAAGGAAAGAAAAAGAAAGAAAGAAAGAAAGAAAGAAAGAAAGAAAGAAAGAAAGAAAGAAAGAAAGAGAAAGAAAGAAACCAAATTAAACAGGAAAAGTCATAATGGAGATAGCATATAAAACTTTGTGTAATACATATATATGTATATATTAAACATCACACAAATTATATGCGAGTTTTATACTATCTATACTAGATATTAATTATACACATGAATACATATATACACTCTGTGAATTACATAGTTATATGTGCATTAATTGTATATACTTACACACATATACATACACATATGCTGCCAAAAATTACAAAACTTCAAAATCACTGGAGGAGAAAAAGTTAAAACCCTCACCAAATTCTTAGGCTCTCTGAAAACAAAGCAGATGCAGTTTTTCACAAGACTAGTCTCAGAAGAATTTCCAGGCCAGGAATCTCGCCCTGCCTAATTCCCTCAGTACCTACTGGTGGGCAGACAGACTGTGGAGCTGCTGGTGTGGAAACGCAGCCACAGTCCCTTGAACAACTTACTTGAGAAGGGCTCTAAAATATGAATAAATCCACATATAACAACCCAGCCAGTGTGTTTTTTCTTTGTAAAAGTGCCAGTCACACACTAATGAAAATATTTATTACCTCTTTTTTGGGGGCGGGGGGTATGTTCCCTTGTTGACAAGAATGTTCAAAACCAGGACAAAACATCTTTAATTGAGATAGTTCAGGAAAATGCTCAGGGTGCTGGGCATTAGAAAGATACTTGAAAAACTATAGAAAAAAGAAATCAACAGAAACTCAAATGTAGTATTATTCGGGGGCTTTTAAAATTTTTGCTGTGCACTTGAGGCAGGTTTATGGGGTTCTTTATGAGAAGTAAGGGGAAAATATAAATTGCTGTTCCTTGGCAAAAGCTGTAGCTGAGTGAAAGTGATATCTATTATCATTCAGGGAGCCAGGCTAGGGAAGAATGTTCCATCACACTCAGCCAGCTACAGGGGATTTAACAGTTTCTGGTGTCAGAGGTGAAGAGCTTCGATTTGTGCTACAAGGTTTGCTACATGGAATTTGTGATGCTTCTTTTTTTTTTTTTAACATGTATATTTCAGTGCATAAGACACAGAAATAGAAAGTCCAGGAAAATACACAGGAAGATGTTTCTGAGTGAAGAAAGTTTATGGTCTGAGCAGGATCCCTCTCCTGTCCATTTTCTCCCTCCAATCCTTGTTAATCTCACATATATAAAATACATATTGCATTGGTCTGTTTTCTGTTGCAGAAACAAAATACTTGAGGTTGGGGAATACAAAAAGAAAAGAGCTTCATTTATTCTCACAAGTTTCGAAGCTGTCAGCTCAAGACAGGACAGTCTTGTCTGTTCAGCCTCTGCTGTGGGCGACATGGCAGAGGGCATCACAATGGTCAGAACTCATGAAGAGGAGCTCACACAATGAGACTGGAAGCCAGAAACAGAGAGGCACCTGACTCACCCTTTTATAACATCCAACTCTGAAGACAAGTAATTGGGTCCTTTACCTCTTCTGAGGACAGTACCCCCAATGATCTCCCACTAAGCCCTGCCTCTTGAGGTTCCTAGCATCATACTGAGCACCAGATTTTCAACACACAAACCTTTGGAATACTATGTCCAAAGCAAAGAGTATGTATATGGCACAGACAGAAAACATGTGCTCTAATAAGTATACAGAGGGTGTGTTCTTATAACGGGACTGATTAGATTGACTTCCATATCCTTTCTGTTATTCTACATCTTCTTCTTTTATCTCTGTTCTGCTAAAAAAAATAGATTTGTTTTTTAGCTTGCCCAAGGAGACAGATTACACCTATAATAAAATAATTCATAAACCATGGAGGAGAAGAAATTACATGAGTGTGTGAGAGACTGAGTTTTTTTCTTTCTTCTTGTACCTAGGGGAAATCATATTTAATGGGTGGTTTTAAATCTTTTTTTATCCCCAAATTCATACCTTTAACGTCTGCCCCTTGAGGCATCGAAGGGAAAGCTAACATGACAGAAGACACTAAGATGGTAATCAGGTATCACATCAGAGATCAGTTTGTCTTTCTTATGAAGCAATGTGAATTTGCTCTCTGTGAAATTAAGGCCTTAGAAATGTGGAGGGAAATAGAAGGGATTTCAGAAAGCCTTGTGGATTTTTTGTTATCTTTCAAATTCCTCTTAATGGGAGACCTCATAGTAAGAAATCACAATCCTTCCAGGCCTCAAAATGTCATAGTCAGAGCCTTCACTCTTAGCCAGGAAGATTTTGCAAACATTTCAGACAAGAAATTAAATAGAACAGTAGTAACAACAACATAAAACAGCTCTCTTCAAGATAAATTATAAGGAACATAGCAGGACAGAGACTGAATTTCTAGAGATAGACTCAAACACTATCCTTGGCTGACATTGCGGAATCATCAGATTGTTATTTTGACACTCAGTTGTTCAAATTCAAACATTTCTCATTAAGGTTTTGGAAACAACCAGTGTTAAAAAAAGGGGGATACTGTCCATATATCACAAATATATCTCTTTCAGAATTTAACAAGACTTTCCTCAAATACATGTGCAGGATAAAAAAAGAAACTTCTTACATGGTTCTAGAAGTGCTGAAAAGAGCAACAAAGAGCCCCTTGATCTAGGGGCTCAATGATTAGAACTTTTGAACAATTTTTCTGTCAGCATTATCAAACATAGCAAGAGATAGAGCATGACCAGAGAAGGTGCTGAAGACTTATCTAGATTTGTAAAAACTAGAACTGAGCCAATCAAATTATCTGAGATGGAAACTTCTTCCTATAATGCCCAAATCCCCTCACCATGAAGGTAGTAAAGTCACAGTGGGCTTCTCTACATGGTGGGCTGTGGGCCACTGAAGAAGTATCCTTGTTACTTAGCTCTGTAGCCTTAGAAAGAGCCACTCACATAGTCAAGGATAATTTGTGAGAAGAAGTCTGTAGTGACTTCAGTTATGTACTTAATTGGGGTCATGTATCTTTCTCAGATGGAGAAAAGAGCAGAATCCAGATATCCTAATGTAAGGCCCAGCTGAAGATATACACAGTAGCCATAGTTTCTTTCTCTTGCTGGTATTGACCTTAGTGCTCTGTTGAAAAGAACCTTTACAGCACCCAATAAATGCCAGGAACTGTGTTAGGCACCAGGATGCACTGATGTGCATAAAAGATATATCCTTGACCTTCTAGAACTCATATTTATTGATGAAAGATCCACACCAAGCAAGCAATTCCCAAATAATTATTTTATTTAGATTAAGTATCATGAAGGAGTGCAGAGTACGATGCACATATAATGGATATTAATCTAGATGTGGCTTAGCAAGTTTTTGTTAGAATTTATATTTATGCTGTGATCTGATGAATGAGCCAAGGTTAGGTAAAGAGGGTATCCCACCAAACATAAAAGTTGTCTATCACATAAAAAATAAGGCTAGATGTCAACCTATTTGGGGAGCCCAAGGGAAATTTTCACTCGTGAGGTCCCCAGTATAAAGAACATATGTGTGCAAGACATCAGCAGCAACAAGAGGCAGAGTAGACCAAAGGATAGAGTCACCTGCATCTTTATTGTATACTTTTATACAAGTTGTTAACACCTATTTACATTCTTACATGCTGGCCTCATTAGTGCATGCACAGCTGTCCATCACTAACTCATGGCTATATAATTATTTTTGACTATACCCTGATGTGCACTTGTGTTGACAACAGGGTCATGCCCTCAAGTCTGTCCCGAGGCATCCTTGTATGCTCCAAGCTTTGACTCAGTCTGAGCGGTTCCCTACACTAGGAAATTTATTTCAAGGCTAGTGTACTTAAGGCTTCCATCATCTAAAAAAAGGAGCTAGATTACATAACTAGGATCTCAAAGGGCTTCATCATTCTAGTGATTCTGGTACTTTACTTCCATCAGTATAAGGTTTTTGTTCCTTTCCATGTGTCTGGAAATAGGGCAGGAGCTAATGTAAATGGTACAGAAGGGTTAATTTCCTGAGAAACAGCAGAGACTCTTCTTCAAATATCATGTGCTGGTCTTGTATAGGTGGATGGCCAGGGAGTGCCACCTCCACGGGCAAAGGTTGGCTGACAACTGGAAGCCAAGGGGATCTGCTTTTAGACTGGGCAAGGGTAAATGACAGCAAGGAGCACTCTAGTTAAAACTAAGCTTCACAGCACAGAAGAGAAAATAGAACTTAACAAGACAGGTGACTTGAGATTAGACATTGGAACATGTATGGAGCAAAACCACTTGAAAAAACTATGGGCGTGAACACTGCCTCAGTGAGTGAGCCCACAGTGGTTGGACACCCTGGGCTGGAGCACCTGTTGGCAGCTGGCTGGTTCTCTTTCTGAACCCTTGATCCGGCTGGATGTTTTGCAAATGCATGCTTTTGGTCACCAGATGCTGCTGCAAAATGGATCAGCACAGTTCAAAATTTATGCTTGCCCTGACAGTGAATGTATGAAGAACACTTTTTTCTTTGGCAATGAATTATACTGTACTGAAGGTTCAGTCTGAATAATGAAAATTCATGAAAACAAAATTAAAATGAATGAAAGTAAATATTTGTCCAGGTTCTGCCATTTATGTATTAGCTATTTGACATTATTTAAACAACATGTGCCATGGTTTTCCATATGTAAAATGGGAACAATAATAATACCTATTCATAGAATTATTAGGGTTAGCTAACTTGTTATTTATAAAGCACTTAGAGCAGTGCCTGACACACAGTAAAGGATATATTTGTTTTTTAAATAGGTGAATATAATTCTGAAGTGCAGCCCAGGTAAATTCCTGCTATAGTTACACATCAGACCAAGATTTCAAATCTTGTTACTTTGTGTGTGTTAAATCTTAAGGATCCAGAACTGGGTAACAGAAAAATAAGACTTTGAAAAACTTAGTCCTACATAAAAATTAAGAATAAATGGGGCCTCTAGCAAAAAAACCATATATATATTAATATTTGTGAGTCTGGTTATATTGCTGACTGATAAGTATACATAAATGGAATTTACCTAGAGGGAAAACTCTATAGAACATGTGGAACATATAATGTTCAGTATAAAAACAAACACTTTTAACTGACTCAACTACAATGGTGAATGTGAGAACTAGAATCAAAGATCATAACACAGGATTTTAGAAATTGTTAGGGGAGGCAGTGACTATCTCAACAGAAGAATCCAGGTTACCCTTGGTTTTCTAATTTTGTTAATTCAAAAGTATGCAAATAGTCTTTCCAAACACATGTTCCTAATCACCACTCCTTGTGATAGAAAAAGAACCAAAATTTAAAAGTCACTGTAGGATTGACCTAATGGTTAAAGACTTAGAGTGAGTTTCCATTGTTATTCCTCTGGGAGCTGATACTTCCTGATGTAGGAGCCCACTGGGTTTGGGCCAGCATTAACCAAGGAGAGAGACATGCTAACAGCCTGCTTCTTGCTTCTTTGTTTTAGGAGCTGGCTTTGGGGAGGAGGAGTAATGCAGAACCCACTGACACCTCTTCCATGTGAACTAAGCTGACTGAGGAGCCCGAGCCCAGGAAGGTGAACCCAGGAAGGAAGGTGAACCCAGGGAGGAAAGTGAACCCAGGAAGGAAGGTGAACCCAGGAAGGAAGACTGCCAAACTCACTGAGCTGCTCTGACTTCAGCAGTCAAGAGAGGGTCATTAGAATTGACTCAACAGCAGAAGACCAGTGATCGCAGAAGTGGAACACCAGTAAGGTGCACCTTGCAAACTACAGCCAGGGGACACACTAATACCTGGAACTTCTCTACCTAACCCTGTGGGGACTCAGCTTAGAGGTGGATTGCTGCAGGGAGGTCATGAGAAGGGCCGAGTGAACTTTCATCATGGAGCTCACCGGTGGGACTCTACTTCCCAGCATGAGGCATAGGCTTATTTGCTTCAGGAAGAAATAATAAGAAATTTGTCCTTTGATGTCAGGAAGAGATAAGGAAAAAGAAAACTAAGAAAGAAAGAGAGAAGAAGAAAATGGACTAAAGCTGATAGTAGTAACTTACAAGTTGCTACAATTTAGTTCATGATCTCGCTTTGAAAACCACTGCTGGAGTCTTGATTTGCACTGTTACATTAATTCCTCACAAAATCCCCACGTCTTAGATGTTATTATCTTGTTTGGCTGATGAGGGCGTCCAACCCACAGAGGTGGGAAACTGTTCCCACACCACACAAAACTCCACTTTGCCTAACTCCGCAATACCCTTGAAACTTTCCTCTGACACTAGATTCTCAAAATATTTCAGAGAAACCTCCAACAGGTCATTGAATGCAGAGAACTACAGCAACAACCATCAGGACTAATTTTAGTTTATTTCCTGAGAAGAAGACTGAACACTTTCTTTGTCCTGGAAGCTTACAGACAAAAGTCAATCTTCTTGTGATAGCTAGTGAGCCACTCAGGGAGACAAGAAAGGCTCAGAGTGTGAGGAAATTTCTAGTGGAAAGGTCTGACACCACTACCTGGCCTGGTCATTGACTAAGAGCATGCTTGAGTTCAGTAACTATTCCAGTAGCTTGGTAAGATCTAAAAAAGAAGAATAAAAGCAATGGGTACACCTGAATTATTCTCATTTTGAAATAAATTTTCCGTTTCAGAGTCCTGTCCCAACCACATCTAACATGTGCACATCTAAGCCGAGAAATCTCACCCCAAGTCCTGTACCTGGTGAACTCTTAAAGCTATGCATGGAGGTACCAACTCTATTCTCCTTGCCACTGGCCCGTATAGCCTTCAGAATGTCACATCAACATATAGCTGATTGTCAGTGTTTCAACTGTCTCTCATTTACAGGTGAAGGAATCATGTCAGAGACACTATCCTTAATAATACAGTCATCCCTCAGTATCCAAGAGCATTCCTTTACAGATTTTAAAATCCCACAGATACCAAAATCTATAGAAACCGAGGTCTTTCATATACCATGGTACAGCATGGGCATGGAACCAACACACATTTTCCTGAACACTGCATGTCTAAATTGTTTACAACACTGAACACAAGTAAGTGTTGTGGAAATAGTTGCTATCTTGTGTTGTTTGAGGAATAGTGACAAGAATACAACATCTATATGTGTTCAGTACAGATACAATTTTTTTTCCTGAATATGTTCAATTTGTGGTTGGTTGAATCAGCGGCCCAAAAAGCTGCAGACGCAAAGGGCTGACTGTATACACTCTATAACCATTGTTCTGTTTCCAACGCAGTGAGCTAGTTTGTACAGGCAATGCTGGAGAGGGTCTGTGTGTGAATAAGCAGAAGGCTCCTTGGGGTCGCTGTGCCGGGGCAGCTCCTCATGTCCTCCGAGGGAGTTTTCCAGTGGTGTCACTCTGGAGAAGCAAAGGGGTGAGCAAATCAGCTCTTCTGTGTCTGGATATCTCCAGCTTTAATGGGAAAGATTAAACTTAAGAAACAATTAGCTTTCTCCTAGTTTCAAATAAACTTGAACACTCTGGAGAGAAACAATCTTGGCCTTTAGTGAGAAGAGGCATTGATGGGATATGTCAGCAGACTTTTTATGTTTCAGCTTGGGAATCGTTGTAGTTATCCTTAATTCTATGCTATTGGTGGTTACAGCTAAACCCCTTGGAGGGGAATATAACCTCTGCCTGCCCCTAAAGATGGTTTCATAGGAGAATGGTGGATGAGCTCCTCAGTTCCTTTCCAGTGATGCTCCCTGCTTGGGACCCCGTCATGCACTCTTCTAATTAGCGCAAACTATGTTGTCTTCTTTGGCACCTCCCATCCCTCATCAGATTTCCCGTATGTACACTTGGCTCTCTTCTCTTATTTCTGTATCCATTCCCTGAAAAAATGTATGCCCAAGGCTTTGTAGTTCATTGGCTCCTGCACCCCTAGCCCAGTCCCTCTTATTCTTTTTAGCAGGACAGCCTAGCTAAGAGTAGGGTCCTGCAGTTATCCTTGGTGCAAAACCTCATCTATCAAATTGCCGGCTATGTACTTAGGCTCTCTGTAAGTTTCAATGCCCTCATCTGGGAAATGGTGATACGAATGGTGCTTGTGGTTCTTATGAGGACTGTGTAAATTAGATGCAAAAAAAAAAAACTTCGAGCTGTGGTGGTCTTCTAGTTATCTCATGCCTGCGATTCCAGCACTCAGGAGACTGAGGTAGGAGGATCATTGTAAGTTCGAGACCAGCCTGGGCTGCAACGTGAGCTCAAGGCCAGCCTGAACTGCATAGCGAGACCCTGTCTTAAAAAGACCCCCCCCCAAAAAAAAACCAAAAACAAAAACAAAAAAAACTACCACTTTGAACAATACAGGGCACATTAGGTATACTTATAAATGTTAGTAGTTATTACTGCCTTTTTCTTTCTTTCTTTCTTTCTTTCTTTCTTTCTTTCTTTCTTTCTTTCTTTCTTTCTTTCTTCTTTTGAGACAGATCTCATTATGTAATTGAGGCTAGTCTTAAACTCAGTGTGTATCCCAGGCTAGGCTCAAACTCATGGCAATCCTCCTGCCTCAGCCTCCCCAGTGCTGGGTTTACAGGCATACACCACCACACCTGACTTACTATTGCTAATTTTATATACTACTATTTGAACATTACCTGGATGTCCTGCACAAATCTAGGAACTGATATTTTTTGAAAGAGATTGAAATCAGGTAGTTATGTAAATTGTATAATGTAATCCTTACAACAGCCCTGCAAAGTAATTTTCAAGTTATCTCATTTCCTATCCCTTCATAAAGAATTTCTCAGAGTTGGTACTATTAAACAAGTATCATTTTATTCTGCACAGGTCAAGAATTACAACCAGCATGGTGGAGATAGCGGCTTTGTCTTTTGTCGCCATGTTTGGAACTTCAATTAGGGATGATGCAAACAGTTGGGGGCTGAAATCAGCCGAAAGCTGCTCATACACAGGTCTGGTACCTGAGCTAGAATGCCTTGAAGGCTGTGGCCAGCTGGAGCATCTATGCACAGCCTGTTCCATTGTGGCTTGGGTTTCCCAGAATGTGGCAGCTGCGTTCCAAGAGGTAGTGCCCTAACAAGGCTCACTTAGAAAGCAAGTATTTCAAGAACAGACAGAAGCTGCAAGACCTTTTATGAGCTAACCTTAGGAGTCAAAAAGCATTGCTTCTGTCACACTGAGTTGGTTCAACCATCAGGTCTGCCCAGACCCAGAGGAGGGGATGTAGACCCACCTTTTGTTGGAAAGTGTCATTGCCTGAGTGGCCTGGTTTAAAAATTCCTGCAGGTATGTATTGCTATCAGTATAGTAGCTCTCTTTATCCAGACTAATACTTTTTTTTTTTTTTTTTTTGGTTTTTGGTTTTTCTCCGGTACCGGGAATCGAACTCATGACGTTGCGCTTGCCAGGCAGGCGCTTTTGCCACTGAGCTAAATCCCCAGCCCCGAGACTAATGCTTTCTAAGATCCCTAGTGGATGCCTGAAACCACAGAGAGTAAGAATCCCTATCTACACTATGCTTTTTCCCACACATATGTGCACAAATGTAAAGCCGTCTCCACCTTCACTGAGCACATATCACATACTGTGGCCATAACTTTTGCACTTTGAGGTGCAAGAGCAAAATGGCCCCAGATTTCTCTTTCCTTCACAGTTTCACAGACAAAATGCTCATTTTATAGTAGGTCTTAGCAATCTCAGTAGGTGATTGTTTTCTTTCTTAATTAAGTTGAGAACTTTCACCTTTTCGTTTGAAGGGGGTCATTTTTTATTGTTGGTTTGTTTGTGTTTTTCTGGTGCTGGGAATCAAACTCACGACCTTGTGCTTGCCGGGCAGGCGCTGTGCTGCTGAGCTAAATCTCCAGCCCTAAAGGGGGTCACTTAATGACTTCTCTTTGACATGTGTGAGATGCCAGCATCACACACACTCCTGCACTGTAGGGCTGATAATAAATAAAATAAGGGTTATCTGAACACATGCATCGTGAGACCACGAATGTTATCTGCTATCAGAGATGGCTAAGTGACAAAAAGCAGGACAGGTGACAAGTACAAGACAGATATAATGGTCAAGGGATAATTCTCATTCCAGGCAGGATAAAGCCATGACAGTACAAGATGTCTTCATACTACTCAAACAGAATGCAATTTCACATGTATAATTTGTCTATTTGGGGAACTTTTATTTAAAATTTTTGGACTGAGAGCTGGGTAATTGAAACCCTGAAAAGTGAAATGAGGGATAAGAGAAGGTTACCAGACTTGAGTAAAAAGAGAAATAAAAGTTGGAATGATAAACAAAGTAGCTTCAGAAAGATGCCACATGTAGGAAGCAGGACAGTCTAGAGTTGAGCTCAAGATTTTAGGTAATGCATAGGTTTATTTTTATTTAATTAATAAGCATTTTATATACTTTCAATAAGGAACTAAGGTCATTGCTGAAGTCTGGCAAATTCTCAGCTGTTTCCCTTTAAATAGAACATATCTGAAATTTTTCCTTTTCTCTTTTCAAGAATTCAATGAATTTTTTCTTCACTTGATCCAGGTCAGAGTTTCTTAAGGCTTTTTGTTTGTTTCAAGAATTTCTCATTAATTCTTTTCTTATGCCTATGTGTATGTTTCTGTTCCACTATTTTTAGTTTACAATTTTTGGAAGTTTTTCTAGTGAATTTTATCCATTTGCCTCTTTCAAGATTAGAAATCAGTTGAGGAGCATAACAGAGTCATATCATCTAGAAAATTCTTGTCAAAATGACTCTCAGGGACTGTAGTGCATTTGCTTAGCATGCTCAAAGTCCTGGATATGAGCCCTAGTGTCTTAAAAAAGAAAAGCATCTCTCTCCTACACCTCTCTCTCTCTCTCTCTCTCTCTCTCTCTCTCTCTCCCTCTCTCTCTCTCTCTCACAGATTTAACCATTTAAAGATGGAATACAGGCATGTTTACCCGAGACAGGCTTTTTAGTTAATATTAATTCATTACCTACCTATCACTCCATCTCTTCCTGCTATCTAGTTCTCCTACGCACTCTTTATTCCAAGGTTGAAAGTCATCATTTTAAAATATGGGTCAAAAAGTACCAAATATAGTCTGCATTGCTTGTTTACCACCAACTCATGCCAATACTAAGTAGCACCATTTCTAACTATATGCTGGAAATGTAAATTCTCCTGGATAATTTAAAATATGCATTCTGAAATTTGGGAGAAATAGACACAGCCGGCACCAGATTTACATGCTCCAAATGACTAAAATATTTTAGAGGAATGGCAGAATTCTGAGAAGGAAGAGATTCCATAGCTTTAAGCAGAACTAAAATGGGATGGGTACATTAAGGGTGGTTTGGGAAGTTCAGAGTTGAGTCAAAGGAAATCCTGCATGGGCTATTATTCAACAGAGGTGGTGGGTGGTCAATGAATAATTTGAGCCAGTGGCACTAAGAGAAAGAGGTTTAAGGAAAATAGAGGAAGGATCTAGAAGGAATAAAAGGGTGAAGCAGACTTGAAAAAGTAAGCTTCTCTGATTGGTCATATTGCATCTGGTAGGTCTTATTACCAATTCGTAAAAATGACCCATAGAAAAAAGTCCCTGCTTACCTCTAACGGCATGCTGTGGGTTTTACAAGAGCAA